TTTCGTCCTCCTTGCTCATGTGCGCGTTCGCTCTGAGCGTGGATGCTGTGCTAGGGTTGTGGTGGTCCGGTGTGGCTGTCCGCCGCGGTGGTTGGCGGGCGAGTGTCTTCTGTTTGCTTTTGCGTAGTGGTGAGAAATCGTCGTTGCCTTCGCCCTCCTGTGGGGCGGAAGACGCACGGCAATCATGCGCAAGCGTGATACTCCGTTCGCGCGTGAGTTGGTGGACGCTCTTCTCAGAGCATGCCGCGTAAAACGCAACTGCAGGTGCGCGGACAACGCGTGGTGGGATGGGCGCCGGTTCTGCATGCGCAGCAAATGCGTCATCCCCCGTGGAACTGCAGTGGGTATGTAGGTCGTTCTGCACGACGGTGAGCGCGATGTGGAGGGCGCCAGTGAACGGCGCCAAGTAGGTCCTCTCTTGGGGCGAGTATGCCGCAGCAGCCCAATGTCAAGCGGGTGGCAAGAACAGCCGCGAGGCAAACTGCGAGCGCTGAGCAAGATGACAGCGAGGCCGACGTGACGTGTAATTTGCATGCGGTCTTTCCCTGTAGCAGCTGCCCTTGTTGGCACCTTAGTGCGGGCAGAACATTGCCCCGCCTACTGCATAGCAACAAAGGAAGCCCTTGTGGCCCCTCCCTGAGGCCTGCCTTATAGGCCCCCGCGCAAGGTTTGAAGCGGGCTACTGTCGCTGCAAGGGTCTGCGCAGTCGTTGAATACGATGCGCATCGCATGTGGCCGTTCGCCCCTGCAGCCTCTACCAGAGGCATGCCCCTGCAGGCCCCCGCATCAGGCATCAGGCGGCGGCATGGACAGACAGGCCTCATGATCGCACGTGCCCTTCGGCGGCTGGCCCCCCCGCCTCTCCCTGAGCCGCGCCCGGCGCGGCTCCTGCGCCAGGTGCGAGGGGGGGCGCGGCCGTGAACGGCAGAGCGCGAACTAATTTGAGCAGGTTGTGCCCATGTCGGCAGTAGTCGTGGTCGGGCTGGTGAGCGCGGTCTTGCTGTCGTGGTGGCGCATTGCTTTGCTCGTGCGCCGCCAGGTCGGTCTCGCCCAGTGCCGGTTGCAGCGAGATTGCGCGGCGCGTTCGTTTGACATTCCAGCCTCTTCCTGGGGCGCGCCCCCGCGGGCTCCCGCGCCGCGTGCGAGGCGGGCGAAGTGGGCGCTGTAATTGCACCTGCCAACTAGTCAACCAATTACCTCGCCACCTCGCCAAACAACTACCTCGCAGTTCGATCGCGGCACGATTATTGACAATGATTCCGCTGATCATGTAATTGGGCAAGTGATCTGGCATGCCACTGCAACTCCCTTGGCACCCGCTGTGCGAAATCAGCCACTTGTCTCATAACGAGGCAGAAGCAAGCATATCTGTAGACATCGATGCGGGAAAGAACGCGGCGCAATCCTGTCCTATGTCGCATGTCGCCTGAGGCCCGCCAGTAGGCGATAGCCGCTGTTATTCGTGGCATGATTGGAGAGCCCCACCGTCTGCTACTCACTGCACGTGGACTTGTAGTCCATCTCGTATGTCGATGTCATGTCAAGCACACTGCGCCGTGCCCTTTTGCTTCTCCCTGAGGCGCGCCCTTGCCGGGCCCCCTTGCCAAGTGCGAAACGAGCATGGAAAGAGCAGGCCCAGTCGCGTGCTCCATTGGTCTGCGCTGCGCGCCCGCCTTTGTCGCTCGCCCCTGGGGCTCGCCCCCGGAGGGCCCCTTGCCGGATGTGAAGCAGGCGGCGTAGTGAGTGAGTGTCTGAATGTCGTGGTGTCGCTGCGCCGATCATGCCCTGCTGCTTCTCCCTGGGGCGCGCTCGTCAGTGCTCCCATTCCAGGTAGGACGCGGGCCGAGGTCGTGGTTAGTTGACAAGGTGAGTCTTGCTAGGCTGGAATGCGTGGAGCGCTGCGTCGTTGCGCCGCGCTGAGCGGCGCTGCTTGGCGCACAGACGACTTGAAATCCAAACCAAGATTTGCATCGACTGCCGCCCGCGAGGAATGGGATAACTCCGATTGCCCTTGCAATGGGGCCAACAACAACCGCGTCATGAATGTCGGGGCGTCTTAATCAGATGGCGCAGGATAGCCGCGTGTGTAGGCGACGGTGTACGCAATGTACTGTTTGTGCCGACTGGCACTAGCCTGTGATAAATTTGGCGACGGGCCAAATGTCGGCGTATAAGAACTTGCCCCGTGGCGTGGCATGGTATGCAACCGTCTACATTGGAAGAAGAGTTCGGGGAACCTGTAGCTTTTCCGTGCCAGTTGGCTTGTCCTAAGCATGCCCTCGGTGGGCTCCCACTCCAGGTATGCAGCGGGCCTGGTGTATTTGATCTAGAAATCGTCTGGGTGGCAGGAAGTTTGTGCCCTCGTGCTTCTCCCTAAGGTAATCCTGATGGGGCCCCCCTTTCCAGGTGTGGAGCGGGCTTGGCTTGGGATGGCCAATCGCCGCGCCCCCGTGCGTTGCTGACCTCTCCCTGATGCATGCCCGAGGGCCCCCGTGCCAGGTGTGGGGCAGGCGACAGGGTTGAGTGGACAAGACGGCGCTGTTGTGTGCACTGCTGGTAAAGTAGGCCGGTGGGCTGGCTTTGGCCGCGCGGCCGCGTTGTGTCAGTTGTGATGGGGCTACTTGTAGTCAATAGCGTTTGCTGTCGTTCGTCTGGCCATGTTGTCGTGGGTGCTGTGGGTCTGCTGGGGAGTGGGCATGAGGTGCTAGTCTGCGTCCGTGTAGCTCGGCGCTTGTTGGTGTATGGGCCCAGAGGTAAATCGCCGCACATTTCTGTCGGTGGTGTTGTTTCCGCAAAGCGCTGTTGTGTCTCGACCAGGCTCTTCGTGATGAGGCTGTAGGGATCTGTTGGTATGTTGTAGCTGTCTGGGGTTAGGGTGTATGTTGCTGGGCTGTGCATGCTGAAGGTTCGCCTTCCCCGTTTATGTATATACATATATATATGTATATGTGTAACCGCTCTTGCTGGCACGGGCATATGCAGTGCCAATAAATCTGGTTAGTGACTCCATTGGCTTGTTGAATGTGCTTTCATCGAAGCTGGTGTAATGTGTTCCGCTGGCGAGTTGTCGAGCTTGCTGCATCTGCCAACGATTCGAGACACTTGAATGCCATCCTGGTTGCTCGGCAAGTAGCATGAACGTCGTAATCGTGTATTTGGCCACTGCCAGTAGCAAGATCAGGTTCTGGATTCTCCAGTTGGCTCCGCTTGTCCGTAGGAGCTGCTATTTGTATTGGTTGGGATTCCCCCAGATCTGCGTGTGGCATGGTGTGCAGCACTGGCTGACCAAGTGTCTTCTCGTATTTTGCTAATGTTGGCCCCTACTTGACCTTGTACGATCCTTTTGTGTCCATGTGTCGGTAACATCGGGTGTCGCTAGATCGAGTTATGAGTCAGCACGGTAGCCAATGCTGGTTGTCGTGAATGTGTTGGTGTCTGGATTCGTTTCTGGCTGGTGTTGAACGTCGTTGTGATGCCGTTCGCCTTGGAACAAAAGTCAGTTGGTTGCTTCTTCGTGTCGTTGAGTGGTTGCTGGTGGGTCTGCTGTTCTGTGATGATGGTTGTGGGTAGCGCTGCAATGTGGTATTGGATGCGAACTTGTCGTCTGCAGCCTTCTGGGGTTGCTGCTGGTATCGTCGCTGCGTCTAATCGTGATCCTTTGTCCTTGTTAGCTCTCGTCTCCGTATTGTCGTTCTGTCGTGACTCGTGTGTCAGGTGTTAGTGTAGGTACGTGTTGCATGTAGTAGCGGTTGCATCTTGACGCGCTGTACCGTAGGTGCGTGAGCAGTGCTTGTCTTGCGTGAGATGGCTTTTGCAGCATAAGCAGCTGCTCCCCTCAACGTTGTTAGCAATGTCGTCTGGTCGTGGGTGATTTGTTTGTGTGTGGTAAGCTCCCCACTCCCCAATGAAAAGATGTGTAAATCTACATTCGTAGCATATGTATGCTGTTTGCTGCTGTTGCGGCTCTGGTGTTGCGTCGCTGTTGACGTAGTCGGGTTGGTGCATGTGTCGTTGCCAGATGTTAGTGCGTACGTTGTCGCTGACGTGTACGTGCTCACTGCATATGCCTGTCGATTCGGTTGTTGTAGTGCTTGGGCGCTCCGTGGGCGTACTCGAGCCATCTTGCAATGTCCCATTGTCGCTGTGCATCTTCCATATTTGTAATAGTGTTGGCCGGCCATCTGAGGTCGGCTGTAACTGATTCAATCCATGTGATGGGTTATCCTGAAATCAATGGTCGTCGGTGTTGCTGCTCGTGGTTGAGGTCAATTAAGCGTCGTGAGATGTGTGGTGTGTGTTACAAGACTAGCTATATACTTGAGTCGACGTGGTCTGAGCTCTGACCTTATAGTCGACTCGCTGAGCTATGAGTAGTAATCGTTGGTCTGCGACGTGTGCTGCTTGATGTTGTAACGAGTTTGTCTTCGTGGCTCTGCGGTATGGTTGTTGCGTGCGCCTCCATCTCCTCCCCCTTCCTCTCCTCCTCATCCTCCTCTCCCTCTTCCTCCTCCTCGTCCCCTCCTCCTCTCCCTCCTCCTCCTCCTCCTCCTCCTCCTCCTCCTCCTCCTTTCTCTCCTCCTCCTCCCTCCTCCACCTTCCTCTCCTCCTCCTCCTCCTCCTGGTCCTCCTCATGCTCCACCTCTACCGCCTCTTTCTCGTCCTGCTTCTCTTCCCTCCGCCCTGCCTCTGGAAGCCGTCGCCGTGGCCGTCCGCGCAACATCCACTGCTGGAGATCGGTCCCAAGGTCCATCCTTGTCCGTTGTTCGAGCCATAAGTCCGGCCGTGGAGGCGAGAACCTCAAGAGATGCCCCAAAATCTCAGGAGCGAACGCTTGTCACCGTCGCCGTCGGAGTCGCCGTCGCCGTCGCCGTCGTTGTCGTCGTCGTCCTACAAGGTCGGCGGCACGGGCTGTACGGCCTTCACAATCAATCTTGGGTGCGAAGGCGTTGACGACGTCGCCGTCCTCCTCCTCCCCCCTCATCAGACCTGCTGATTCGCTCCTTGCCCGCGGAGCTCAAGGACACCACGGCCTCCAGGAGAACGGAATGGGGACATAAAGAACAGGGACCAGGGCCGACAACAATTCCTGCCCCTTTTGGTAAGGATTTGCTGTCGGAGTCGTCGCGAAAGTCGTCCGTCTGTCGCGATGAACGAATGCCCCACGGCGGTCGCTGTTGACTTTGGACGACATCTGCTGTTGGACATTTTCCTCATTCTTCTAGCCATCGCCAAGGAGAGTCACCACGAGGTCGCAGCCTTCCCGAGAAGGAAGAAGAAGAAGCCCACCAGGGCACCCCATATCCCCCAGGACCCTCAAGACCGCACCCCCTGGTGGCCCGCCTGGTGGTGCCACCCCCGGGGAAGCGATGGCGACTTCCCTCGTGGTGACCCTCCTCTTATCCAATGGATCACTCTTCGGGTGAGACATGGGGTTGGGAGGAATTGTTGCATTTTTCGGTGAGCGATTGGCGTCGGCTCGAATCCCCTATCTATCTGGTGAGATCTGTACGTGTATACATATATATGTATACATTCATCGATCCTCTAACCTTCTGGTCTAACTAGCCGTCGACCCCGCTAAAACACACATCGGTGACACGATCGATCGATAACACTGTATACATTGATCGACCGATGCGCACGACAATCAATACACCTAACAGTGTCACTACACATAGGTGCTTCGCTATGTATCGACCTTCCCATGGGCAAGACTGACGAAGAACAGCCACGCGACAATCGCGAGACAACCGCGGGCAAACAATCGACAAAAATGAGACAACAGAGGGGCAACCACAGTACAACCACGGGACAAACGCGGGACAACTCAAGGACAACCGCGGAACAATCACGACGACACCACGGGATAACCACAAAGCAACCACGAAGCATCCGTCTTCCTATCTACTGGTGTCACTACCAATATACCAATACCACGTTCAACATACCGGTCGAAATCACATCTACTGGCCGACGCCACGATGAATGAATCGATCAATATCTCTATCTACGTATCGGTCTCACTGTCTTTCCACACGCAAGACCACCCCTGAGGTGACCAGGAGATTCGGGCCGGGATGTGTGACCTATGTAACGAACGATATCTAGAAATATCTCGATGCCTACCTGTCGATATCCGTCGCCGCTGCTCCCGCTACCAAACTATCGATCGTTCTCTGCATCTGCCGATCGCACTATCAAATGATGTAGTTCCAACTGTCTACCAAACTACCGGCTGGCCCCAGAACACCAGTGTCACTACCAATCCATCGGCCGATCGCATTATCTGTCGAATTCGCACTTTACCCACCTGACGCACTATCTGCTGGGGCTTGCGATATCACACCCGATCGGTCTGAATACAGATGTCCTGACCCTCCTAACAATACATCAACCGATGTCGTTATCCACTGTGCGGTCTCACCTCTTTCATGCTCGTGTACAGACGGGACAACCAAGGAACAACTGCGGGCAGCCACGCAACAACAACATCATGATACCCACAGGGCAGCCACGACACAGCCAACAGAACACGACGGGAAAACCACAAGACAATCACAATACAACCGTGCGGCAGACGCGGGGCAGTCGCAGAAAAAAATCACGGGGCAACCACGGGACAACCACGGGACATCGATCTTACTCCCGACCATTGCCACTACCAAATTACCGACCTAGCTATGATCAATATGCTGGCCGACATGCGGATATACCGACCGGTCTTACTGTCTGTCGACCTCTCCCGCTGTCAATCGACGAATCGATGTCATGACCTACTTGTCGGTCTGCATGCCATCTCCTGACAAGGCCACCAGGTGAGCGTGAGGTTTGGGAGGGTTTGTTTTTCGCCTTGCGACTGACGCCGGGTCCGGTCCGCCGCCAATACGAAACATCCACACCTATCTCGACACGTATCTTTTGATATCCACAGCTACGGGTCCCACTATCTAGCTCTCCGTCGATCTTCTGTCTGCGGATATTGCGATCGATGGAAATCAAAGAAGTTCACCGGCGATCTGACTGTCAATGGGCCTCGGTCATACTGTCAGACAACCGATCCCACCATCAATCCACCTGTCGATCGCATTACTTCCGAGTCTAAGAGTTCATCAACCGAAATCAATCTCACCATAAATCCCACCAGCCATCTGGGCGTACGTGGTTTAGGGTGTTTCCTCTTCCACCCCCTTCTTCCCCTTCGGGGAGGGGTTTGTCACTGTTCCCTATTACTATACACCCCCTCCCCTAGGCGACTGGGAGCCAACCCAAGTCCATGCGGGCCCCCCCCACCACCCCTCATTAAAAAAATCCAGAACACACCTGCCTCCACCATCCCTCTTTAAGAACGATGCAAAACACACTCTGCCTCCAAATTCGGAGCATGCGTAGAAAACCCGATGCGGCCTCCCCCCACCATCCCTGTCAAAAAAACCATACGGAGTACACTTGGCGGTGGCGGCGGCTGCGGCGGCTGCGGCGGGGGCAGCGGCTGCGGCGGCTGCGGCGGTGGCGGCGGCGGGGGCGGCGGCGGGGACGGCGGCGGCGGCGGCGGCGGCGGCGGGCGGCGGCGGCAGCGACTGCGGCGGCAGCGGATGCGGCGGCGGCGATTCGGCAGCGCGGGCGGCGGCGGCGGCGGCGGGCGGCGCGGTGGCGGCGGCGGCGGCGGACAGCGGCGGCGGCGGCGGCGGCGGCGGCGCGGCCGCGGCGGCGGCGGGCGGCGGCTGCGGCGGCGGCGGAGGCGGATGCGCCCCCAGTAGCTGCCCATCCAAAGACGACTGCTGCATATGCTGCGGCTCGGGCCAGGCTCGGGTGCTACGTATGTGTTGGGAGGGCGGGTGGGAGTGAGCGAGACGGCTTGCGGGCGGGGAGGGAGACTCTTGACCCCTCCCCCTACCCCGTCCCCTGGACCTGGACGGGGCGTTTCGAAAGCGGTCGGAGCGTCCAAACCGGCCTCGGCGAGGAAGCCAACATCATGTGGGCTCCAGTTTGGCCTTTTGGAGGGGCAGCGCTAATTGAGACCCCCCCTTCTTTGGTCGATCTCCTCCGAGATGGCCCCACGAGCGCTCCCAAGGCTCTCAAGGGTGCTCCAAGTCCAAGATGGCCCCAAGAAGCGCACAGGAGGCCCCAAGAGGTCTCAAGAAGGCCCCAAGATGGCCCCAAGAGGCCCCCAAGAGGCCCCCAGGAGGCCCCCAAGAGGACCCCAAGCGGCCCCAAGAGGCCCCCCCGAGGCACCCAAGACGCCAAAGAGCCCCCCAGGACCGCCAAGAGACCCCCAAGATGTCCCAAGAGGCCACCAAGAAGCGCCCAAGCGATACCCCAAGAGGCTCCGAGAGGCATCCAAGCGACCTCTGGCCCTTTTGCTTGCGCTCCTCCTGCTGCTTCTCCTTCCTCCTCCTACTCCTTCTCTTCTCTTCCTCCTCCTCCTCCTTCTCATCCTCCTCCTGTTCATCCTCCTTCTCCCCACTCCCGCATCCATCCATTCAGCCTCCTCCTTCTCCTCCTCCCTCCTTCGCACGGTTTGGCCGTCCCCCTCTTTGCTCCCACGCTTCCCTGATCACCTCAACTCGGCTGGACATCGTTTCTGGATGGACTGGTGGGGATATGCGAAGAGTATAGACCTTCTTTATCACATAGTATCGGTCTCAATCTGAATCTACCGATCACGCCATACATTTCTCGTTTGCACTGCCTATGTGTCTGGACGTGACAACCACGGGACAACCGCGGGCAACCACGCGACAACTGCAAGACAACCGGGACATCCACGGGGCAACAACAGGACAAGCAGGGGACAACCAAAGGCCAACCATGGGAGATTTGGAGACAACCACGAGACAACCTCGGGGCAACCACTGGACTACCACGGGGCAACCACGCCACAACTACGAGACAACCAGGGGGCATCGACGTAATCATACATCGATTTCAACATCAATCTACCGATCTCACATGTCGACGAATCGACCGATCGGCAATTCTAGCGGTCTCACAGTCTACGTATCAAATTATCCATGATTCATCTGCCTGTTGGTCCCACGAGCTGTCGGTCTCACTATGTACCTAGCGGTATCACTATCAAATATTGGTCGCTTGCATGATTCATCGGTCTCACAGTCTATCGATCGATCTCATTTTCAATCTATCCTTCGAGCCCCAAAAACTATACCAATCTCCATACCGATCTACCGATCTGAAGAACAATCTATCTATGGGTCTCACTATCTCTCTGCCCGTCCCTGGGACAAGCACGCGTCAGCAGCAAAACAACCACGCGACAACAACAAAACAACAACGGGACAACAACAGGACATCCACAAAACATCCATGGGCCAACATGTGATATCCACATGAGAGAGCGTGATCCACCGCCGCTTTACTGTGGAAAATTGCCAACCTTTTCCTCCGGAACCCGGGGTTCCCCCCCCCCCCCCCCTGCCGGAACCCCTCCCCCCCACCCCCCCTCCCCCCGGCAAAACCCCCCCCCTCCCCTAACCCCTCCCCCCCCCCCTCCCCCTCGAAAACCGGGGGGGGGTCACTACCGGTTCGAACCTCCTCCCCCCCCCCCCCTCCGGATCCGGAAAACCGGGGGGGGTCACTACCGGTTGGAACCCCCCCCCCCCTCGAAAACCGGAGGGGGTCACTACCGGTTCGACCCCCCCCCCACGCACCGCCAGCAAACGACTCCCGGTCCCTACCACCGCTCGCATCACATCCCCCACTGTTGTTCCCAGCACCACTGTCCTCACCACCACTGTCCCCACTGGTTCCACCACCGTCCCTATTGTCCCCACCAGTGCCCCCACCACTGTCGCACTGTCCCCACTGTTCCCACCACTGTTCCCACCACGGTTCCACTCTCCCCACTGTCTCCACGGACCCAACCACTGCCTATCCCCATTGTCCCCACTGTCCCACTGACTCCTCCGCTGTCCCACTGAGCTGTCCCACTGTTTCCACCACTGTCCCCACTGTCCCCACCACTGTCCCCACTGTACCTCTGTCCCATTGTCCCACCGCCGTCCTCGCCACCGCCTTTACCAGTGTCTCCACCACCATTGTACCCTCCACTGTCCCAGTGTTTCCACCTCATTCCCACTGTCCCCACACCACTGTCCCCACCACCACCGTTCCCACCACTGTCCACTGTCCCCCCTGTTCCCACCATTGTCCCCACCACTGTCCCCACCACTACCGTCCCCACCACTGTCCCACTGTCCCCCCGCTGTCCCCACCACTGTCCCGCTGTCCCCTCACCACTGTCCCCACCAACACCGTCCCCACCACTGTCCGCACCCCCACTCGGTTTTCGAGGGGGGGGGGGTTCGAACCGGTAGTGACCCCCCCCCCTTTTCATGATGAACTGGGGGGGGGGGGAGGGGTTCGAACCGGTAGTGACCCCCCCCGGTTTTCCGGAGGGGGGGGGGGGAGGGGTTCGAACCGGTAGTGACCCCCCCCGGTTTTCCGCCAGCAGCGGTAGAACAAGCTCTTTCCCACATGAGAACCGCGGGGCAACCACGGAACGACCGCAGGACAACCACCAGACAATCGCAGGGCAACCGCGCGACAAGTAAGCAACAACCACGGGACATCGCTCGAATCATCTGTCAATCCGACGAATTATCAACCGACCGATCCCAATACCAATATATCAATCACTACCTCACTCTTACCGAACACACTACTTTCTGGTTCCACTATGTATCACTTGATGCAACCACATATCTGCCTACCGAAATCACCACGTACTTGGGGGGACAACCATCGGGCCAACGATCGGGACACCACATGCATAAATTTTACATATGTGTATATACACGTGCCTGTAGCTAGCTGGCAATGCGGGCATACAGGAGTACGCAGACTTGCGAGGAACATGCATGTTGGTGCCCCGATCTCCGCCCACTCGTGCATCGGAGTGCGCGTGCAAGGGAAATGAAACATGATGTCAATCACCCCCACCCCGAAAAAATACAGCTCCTCATCACCCGAAGGGTCGTCTACGCGGTATTTGGATATGCTCGGCGCTCGTGGAGAGGAGGAGGATGAGGAGGAGGAGGAGGAGGAGGAGGAAACCCCCACTTCGGGCACCCGAACCGCCTGGTCCGGGAAGCGCTGCCCCGGCTGCCTCCTTGAGTGGGTCCTCGACACGGATAGCTGCGCGCCGCGGGCGCATCCGCCTCGCGCCGGCAGCGGAGAGGGAGGGAGAAAGCGAGGGAGGGACGGGAGGGAGGGGAGGGAGGGGAGGGAGGGAGAAAGGAGGGAGGAGGAGAGAGCAGGGGAGAGGGAGGGAGAGACGAGGGAGGGAGAGGGGAAGGAGAGCGAGAGGAGGGAAAGGGGGAGGGGAGCAGGGGAAGGAGAGGAGAGGTGGAGGGGAGAGGAGAGGAGGAGAGGAGAGAAGGAGAGGAGGGGAGGAGGGGAGGGGATGGAGGGGAGGGAGGGTATGAGGACCCCGACAGAACGGGGTGCATGGCGACCCCGATCCCCACCCTACTTGTTAATGATTTTCCCACTGAACCGAAACATTGACCCAAACTAGGAGTTTACGATGGGACGGCGTCCATCCTCGATAGGGGTGTGTCCAAGTAGCTCCTCGGGCTGTATCCCAGAGTCCCCCGTTTTTTCTGAGCAATACGTTTTGTTTGTTGGAGGGGGGCATCGCCTGCGAGGACATCTGACACCTCGAAGCATTTGAGACGGAATTGCTTCCTCGTTCTCGGCCTCTGGGGGCTCGCTGGCGGGCTCCAGGGCCGTCAAAGACCGGATCGGGAAAGAAGCCGGCCCTGGGGACTGGGGAAAGGGCCGGGGACCCCGCCACGGTGAGATCGAGGCATCAGGTGTCTGGGGTGGAGGGGTGGGATGCCCGGGGAAGTGGGAGCGGGGAGGAGAGGAGGAGGTCGAGGAGGAGGGGCAGGAGGAGTGGAGGAGTGGAGGGAGGAGGGGGAGGGAGCAGAGAGGAGGAGGGGGAGGACAGAGGGGTGGGGGAAAGACGACGGCATCGTCGACGACTTGGCTCTGGAGGTTTCCATGCAGTTCTAGAGAGTCTCGTCGCCACTGCAGGGCGCAATTCGAAAAGCCGACGGGGTCCCCGATCCGATTTTGAAGGGATGCTGATCGGACGACCGCGACCAACCTTCGGCTGGAGGCAGGGGTGGAGATGCGGGGATGAAGAGGGGAGCAGGCAGGAGGGGCGAAGTGAGAGAGGGGAGGAATCGAGGCAGGAGGGAGGAGTGAGGGAGGAAGCGGGGAGGTGGGAGGAGGGAGGGGCAGGGGCTGAGTGCTACCAGCCCTCCAGCGCAGCAGAGAAAAAAGGCGGAGGGCTGCTACAATGCTCGGCGTCTGTGTACCGCTCCTGAGCCTGGGGGGCACCAAGGATTGAACGGGGATAAACGACAAGTCACCAGGCCCGCGGATCGACACACAACACACATCCGCCGAAGGCGTGCGCTAAGTGTTGCCCTCGACCTTCGTGGGAGGTTTTGGGAGACTCGTGGGCCCTCTCT